GGATGAACCACACTTTGTCTTAGATAGAATGCTCGCTATACACTGACATCCGGAAATCCTTTATTAGCTCCTTACAGTTAGAAAAGAAATATACATACTTACCGAAAATAAAATTGTTCAAACATATAATGACATCCAAGCACCACGATGCAAATGAAAAACTATGTAAATTTGTCCATATGAAAGATTGTAATCTCCAAGCAGATTCTGTTAGGTGGCCAATAGTTACAGGAGGCCAATGGATACAGGTGGCCAATATAGACTCCCCTTGCCACAAAGAATCTGCTTGGAGATTAGTCACATTTCTGATTTTCTCCTCAATTTAAAGGAAGGATTAGGATTACGAAGTAAAATCGGCCTGCCCGGGGCAAATTATGCTCTTACTAGGCTATTAGACCTCCTTAATATGTTACAGGGTGAGACATACTTGTACATACGTGGCCCGTAAAATGTTAGTACATTGTAGTACTTTAGTCTTCTTCAGGCTGCCCGGGGCAAATTGTACTCTTACTAGGCTATAAGACCTTCTTAATATGTTACAGGATGAGGCATATATATGTGGCCCGTAAAATGTTAACGTTAGTACTACTTGAGTCTTCTGAAAGTAGAATAATTCACACCAGCAAGCGCTAACGTTAACAATCACTATGTGCTATATTGAGAGTCCCTGACCTGCTGACCGGTAGTTTATCATTCGAAACACAAATTGCAACAGATGTAAATATCTTTATTGAAACATTTGAATATTTTGCTACATTGTATATACTTATGAAATGTTACATTTACTTTAATCATTGCAGTTCATTAATTGACGTAAAATACAATGTTGTACAAAAGCTACCGTATTCTATGCAATGTCAGATTTAATTTTTAAAAACTTTCTGTGTGAATTGCATATAGTTCAGCGGTACCCCCGCTGCAATGCTCAAAAATACATCTTGGACCTTGAACGTGAATCATTCTGACGAGTCTGCAAGCCGAAAAGGACATTTTCGGCATAAATATGACCTGCGGTGTCATCTCAATCACACTGCGCGATATTTACGGACTAGCCGCCGGTCACAGGTCAGATAACTTTGTTAAATATAACAGGGGTAGATATACAGGTTAAAAATGCGGCCGATTTTTGAATTCAACTGCAATGTTAAATAAATACATCTATATCAGATTTTGTATCTGTATCTGTATAGCCGGTATACCCGCCCTTCGCTTTGGCGTAACACACCAGCTTCTGTATCTGTATAGCCGGTATAACCGCCCTTCGCATAACACACCAGCTTTGCAGGCACGCGGCGCGGCGGCAGCTGGCTACATTACACAGTACGACTTGTTGGACCTTGAACTTGAATCTGAAGTAGCTTGCTGGACGAGTCTTCAAGCCGACATTTTCGGCCGAAATACGACCGGCGGTGTCATCTGAATTACTGTGCGATTTGCCTGTGGATTTGTAGGGGTTGGCCGATGTTCACAGGTCACTGAGCTTTGTCAAACATAACAGGGGTAGATATACAGGTGAAAAATGCGGCCGACCCTCTAGCGATTTTTGAATTTGCCGACCTTCTAGCGATCGACAGATTCGGCCGAAGGTCGCTGTTAGTGTGAAGGACGGCACATGAAAGAACTCTCGATGTAAAAGTCAAAGGCCCTATTTTCCTAGCTGGCTATATGACACCGGCTAGTCTCCACCAGATTTCTACAAAGTAGTAGAACTTAGCCTTAAAAGGAATGTAATGAATAATAAATTGGTCAGGGGAGTTAGCTGGCCATGGCCATAGAGGTCCAATTTGCCTTTGGTCGGCTAACATATTTATTCAGCCTACAAATGAGTCTGGTGGAGACTAATACCGGCCGTTATAGTAAAGCTAAGTTTACTGAGAAAGGACTCTGACTCGCGAGCCTGGTTTGCCCTAACTGAGTCCTAAATATACAGGATGCATTATGACAAAGAACGCATGAACATTTACAAAACTGTAATATCTTCGACATAGCTCAAACATTTTATTCACTGTACAGGTAGATTCTCGTAATTGATAGATCAACGACTTGTATTTTCTCTACTTTGTAATTATTTATTTAAGAATTTATTTTGCCATTGCGTGTTACTCTTATTTTATATTAATGTTCTCGAGTATACGGCGTTCATATAAGGAAGTGCGCTGTTTGCCTGATAGTCGGTAAATACATAATAAATAAATAAAAAAAGACATGAAAGAAGTCTTTCAAATATGTCGGGAGAACTCCAACAAAAACACCAGGCAAGCTTCCTACAACTGATGGTGCGCAGAGTGACAAGGAACTGTGTTCTAAGAGTAGTTTCATGGATTTGTTGTAAGTAACAGAAGTTCATCAGTTAAGAGACTCTTTCTACACAACCAAGTCTTTTATTCAGCCGACGTTTCGGTGACCGTCTGTCACCTTCCTCAGGGCAATTCTGACTGGTTAACGCACAGACGGTCACCGAAACGTCGTCTGATAAAAGACTTGGTTGTGTAAAAATAGTCTCTTCACTGAGTGTCTTACCAACCAGATGAAACTATTCACGAACAGATGTTGCTGTAAGCTACATTTATGTAACTGTTGTGCAGTAAAATTGTCACATTGTTATTACCAAGTACGTGTACATATATAGACATCAGGCAGCGCGCTACTAGAAATGATCACAATGATCCAGAGTCAAGTTAATTATTTTTCTCGGCTGTATCTGACGTCTGTTGTTATGTTGGCAGCGCTCGCGCGCGCAAAATATGATCATAACAGTAGAAGGGCAAGTTCATAATTTCAGAGCTCAAAAGAAGCAAAATACAGTTATCGTTGTTGCGTGACTATTTTCTATCATGTCTGTACATGAATGTAGACGAAAAACAATTTCACTAACATCTGACGTATTGTTACGTTGGCACTCGCTCGCGCGAAATATGATCATCATAGTAGCAGAACGATTTCATAATTTCAGAGTTGAAAATAAGCTAAATACAGTTGTTGTTGTTGCGTGACTATTTTCCATCATTTCTGTACATGAATGTAGACGAAAAACAATTTCACTAACATCTGACGTATTGTTACGTTGGCACTCGCTCGCGCGAAATATGATCATCATAGTAGCAGAACGATTTCATAATTTCAGAGTTGAAAATAAGCTAAATACAGTTGTTGTTGTTGCGTGACTATTTTCCATCATGTCTGTACTTGAATGTAGACGAAAAACAATTTCGATCGCAGCTGGATCGCTGAAAGTTGGACGGTTTTGATATTTAATTTAAAAACCTCGGGCAGACATAATTTCATCTGCACAAATGAACGCAGACGAAAAATGCAATTTTTGTCGCAGCTGGAATCCCTGAAAGTTGGAACATTTTAAACTTTGATAACTACAGACGTGTGCAACTAAATAATAGCTTCTACCAGGCTTCAGAGGCGGCTGGAAAGAGTATAAGTTGACTAAATAGAGAGATAACATGCCAGGGAAGTTAGTTCTCAAAAGGAATACAATTCTACTCTTTCCAGCCACCTCTGAAGCCTGGTAGAGGCTACAACCTTGTTAGTTTTAGACCACCCAGACTAAAGCAATAATGCTAGATTTGTTTGTTTGTTTGTTTGTTTGTTAATATTTAAATTTATTAACTATTCAAATAGTTAATCACCAACTTTCAGATAGTAGCATGCCCCTACGTGCTTGAGGTATGGCTCTCCCCAAACACGTGTCAAAAAACTCTAGGCTAATTTTGATACTTAAAGATGGGACTCAAAGACAGGTGCGCGACTTATCATTGAAAAGGTTGGAGGTACTTAACCGTACGTTAACTAGCATGTTGTTTTGCAAGACAGGAATATATTTAGAGTTCTTGAAAACATAACTATGGGCAGACGTGGAGAGGATGGTGTCGTGCGCATGCGCTACCGGTAATTTTTGGTACCCTGCGTCAGAATGTGAAGTTCATATGTATATCATAAGACGTTTTGCATCATTCAAACACAAAAGGCATCCTGTTTTTCAAGCCGAAAATAGAAATATATTCGTCAGCTGGCGTCATCTGCTCTTCTATCTGTTTTGTTACTAGAACTTAAAAATACAGGAACTCATGATTAGGCCACACCGCCTTAATTTTATGGATGACATCCGCGCGCGCATTGATTTTCGCCTGTCGCCCTCAAAAAAAAATAAAAAATAAAAAGATCACCTCCACGGAGGCTCTGGCCTGGCTCTAGGCCTGGGTAGTCCATGGTAGTCAGCGACAAAACGGAGCCGAGCACCCAGGTCCCAGGCTATCGAATTCGAAGCTCCACGACTCAAGAACTCAGTACATAAGTACAGTACCGATTCATAAATGCCGCAAAAAGCCAGCATGTGCCGGCTTGTCGTATACGTCACTAAGTACTGTAGCGAATCCACAATACCAGCTTTGTATTCCTGTGGTTTAGTAGCATTTTTATTTTTGGCCGGAATTTTTTTATTCGCCCGCGCGCACTAATTTGGGGGTCTTCAGAGGATGTCATCCATAAAATTAAATCGGTGTGGCCTTAGCCCTACTTGATTGTATATCATACCACCACTTGATGTTTTAGTAACTAGGGTCTTAATAAGTGTCATTTTATAACCTTTTCGTTTTGTTTTATGTTCAATAGCCGTTGCCATACGAAAAGAAAAGAAAGAAAGAAACCCCGATAAAAAAAAGCTTAAAACACGCCAAAAATGACCCAAAACCCAAACCTCTGCTTGGAGAGCAGCGAATCTGTCAAGTGGCAATTGACCTCAGATAACCTCTAGCAGACGACACTTTGAAGCCGGGTGGGTCAAGAAGAACATTTGCGATGATATTTAATTTAATAATACGGGAGAAAATCACATAGAAAATTGAGGCAGAATTAATATTATATTCTCTTGTACTAGGGGATGAAGTCGCGACCTAGATTCTTACTTGATATGACGCGAAAAAAGCGCCTTTTGACTCATTGTTGCCGACTTCCGGGTCATCATGTGATAGTCATGTGGTGTTAGGAAGTACAGTGTAAAACATGGCGGCAAGAACATGGGTGGACGCTTTGCTGTGGCCGGCACTGGTCATCGGGGCTTGTCTGGTGGTCAGTGGGTGTGCAGGTAGGGTGCTGAGAGTGTGTTTAGAGTGTGTGTACATTCAGAAACTGACCGGTCTTTACTTATGAGTTTACAGTGTCACCGTTGAATGTGTCAAGTGCTTATTAGGGGGAGGGGCGATTACAGCCATTGAGCTGCCACATAGAGTTGGGATCATTGTTCAGGGCTAGGGTTAGACTTACGATTGGGGTTAGGTTAGGTTTAGTCTCCCACATCACAACTAAACCCCTCCCACCCCTTGTCTCGGGTATATTGGAAACCCCCAAGTAGTGTCGGAGTCATGCATTTGGCAGGATCATGTATTGTATATGGTATCAAAAAGGTTGCCGGTGTCAGATATTTTTACCGTTATATGAAACATCAGAGAGGCAATCCAAGCATTTCAAAAGTTCAATACAAGTGCATTAAGCTGATATGATGTTAAAATGCTCACATAACAACTACAGACGCACGGCCTCTGTTACTTTACATGAGATGCTAGGTAACCTGGGATGGAAATCACTCCAACACCGCCGCAAAATGGCCAGGCTAACTACAATGTTCAAAGTCCTGCACAACACCATCTCTGTCCCCCACACCTCGTGTCTTGTCCCGGCAGCTCGATGCTTCCGCCGCACTAATCACGCTTTAAAGCTGCAGACCATCGCGAGTAAGAACAACTATTACAGGCTCTCGTTCTTCCCTCGCACCATCAAGGAGTGGAATGAACTTGAGCCCAGTGTGGCGGAGGCGAAGTCCATCTCCCAGTTCAAAGCTGAGCTGGGACGGGCTTCGCTGCATTGAGCTGCCTCCCGGTCCTTGTACATATGTAAATATGTGTAACACTAGCACCACTGATCTCACTTGTCCTGTCTTTGCACTTGTCCACGTCCATCCCAACCCTACCCTTTGTTTGCACTTTGCACACAGCCACTAATGGCGTAATGCGCAGCTGCTAGTAATCTTCTTTTTAGAAGGCTAAGCAGTATCGAAGATGATGATGAAATGATGATGTTAAATGATCGCATATTGCTTAGTAACTAGTATTAGCTATGAGGCTAATATATCACACTATGCTGATGCATGCACAGTTCCAATACCTTATCAGCTTATCAAATGTTACCATTACAGCAGCTGACACAGACTGTAAGCCAGGCCCCAAAGTGAAGAACCAGGACTGGGGTTATGTTGACGTGCGTTCTGCGGCTCACATGTTCTGGTGGCTGTACTACAACACAGACAATTTACCTGCTGCAAGTTCTACTCCTACACCACTTATACTCTGGTTACAGGTGAGGAAACATGTCTTACATCAAGTTGAACATATACTTATAACTGATATTGTCTTTTGGAAGTGAGATGTAGAACCTGTTAGTATCAAGCTGCTTCAATCTTCTAGCCCTTGTAGATGTACCAGACTCTGTGTGTATTTGTACCTTGAAGTGCTTTGCAACTATGACCTGTAGCTGGCTTGTAAGGGCATAAATGCACAATATAGGCCATGAAAACTTACCCTCAAGTAGTAAAATGCTAACCTGTCCAATACATGTACATGTATTTCTCCATAACTAAAAGGTGAATGAAAGGTTTACTTTTATTTACTCATAAACCATTCTAATCTAAAGCCGTGATGTTGTTTTTAGGGTGGCCCTGGAGGCTCTTCAACCGGGTTTGGAAACTTCCAGGAGATTGGACCTATGGACGTCAGTCAGCAGCCCAGGAACACTACATGGGTAAACAGGATGTTTGTAACTTGTGATATGAAGGCCTTACAAAGTTACATATTCTACATTACATATGTGAAGATAAGGCTAAACAAACTTAATGTAATGCCTAATATCTGTAGTCATGTTGATTTTGAATACTGTTAGTGCCGAGACAAAAAGGGGCCTACCAATTTAACAAAGCTACATGTATCACTCACTCACTCTCATTCTCTCCCATAGCTTAGTCAGCCGTTGGGGCAGCATGATGTTTGGCCAAGTTCTTCCACTGCTGGCGGTCCTCCGCCAGTCTGGCCATCTGGTTGGCTGTTAGACCAGTCCACTCTTTTAAGTGTATGCACAGGAGAAATTTTACTTTGAAATATGACAGTGCTTGTGACATGTGACAAGAACACAGGCTTGTGCTGTGTTCTTGTTACAACTGTTCCATTGACATTAGTCAAGGCTTGTTAGCATGTTAGCATTCAAGTCACTAAGGTGACCAATTATTTGAGTCATACATCGTCATCAAACTCACAACACCCAACCAGCTATTCCCATCTTGGCACTTGGCCAGCTTTTTATAAAACTATTTCTTGTTTTCTCTCCCATCCCTTAGCTGTCAGTTGCCAACCCGTTGTTCATTGACAATCCGGTGGGAACCGGTTACAGCTATGTGACCAACAAGAATGCTTAGGCTAAAATATTGACCCAAATTACACATTTTTTAACACACTAAGTTACACTGAATACTCAGGTTGTCTCAGTTTTTTTTTCTCCTCTTTTCCCCCCAGCTGTCAGTAGCCAACCTGTTGTTTATCGACAATCCAGTTGGAACCGGTTACAGCTATGTGACCAACAAGAACGCCTATGCCACTGACGTCAGCATGGTCGCTGCTGACCTGGTCACTCTGCTCAAGGCCTTCTTCAACTGCAAGACAGACCTACAGGTGATGAGCACTTTTATTAATGTTTAGCTATTATACAGTGACAGTACCGTGTTTTATGTTTGCCTGGAATCCCTTCGTGAACGCTGTGTATCTGCTCTGTTCCTATCCTTTGCTCCTGCCTTGAAAGGTTTTACGTCTAATATCTCGCTAGACATGTTCTCTTGGTGCTGGTTCACTTTGTTCAGTTGGGAGTCAATTGTCTACCTAAATAGGTATCTAACTCTTGGCACCTATCTGCTAGTTAAATTGTAGGTACAGGTACACAGGTGTACATTGTAGGTATACAAAATGTAGGTCTGAACCTGTACCTAAACAAGTTACACCATTTTCGTCTTTACTGTATTCAAATTATTTTATTTTCTATTACTATGAACACATAAGCAAACAAAAACACTGAAAACAAGAGATCTGAGATCACATACCTCCATGAAATATGGGCTTGACGTGTAAATGTAAATTTCCTCTTTAATTATGCAAATGACCTCCACATTAACATAATTAATGTATCGTGATGTTAACTTTTGATGAATTTACAATTTACACCAAGTAGGAAATTCCCATCATTTACCCATTGAATTTTCGCATTAATTATGCAAATGAGGTCATAATTTGCATTATTGGTATCTGTTGATGTTCCATCTGCCAAAGATTACATACATTACATGTATTAAAGTACTACAATGTAAAACACTGTAATTAGAGAATTTCCTCATTTATTATGCAAATAAAGTCCTCATTTGCATAATTTGCATTAAGTTATGTACATCTCTCTCAGCTACCTACCTACCAAAAATGATGAAAATACATTGTTCCTGTCTGGACCTATTGGCTTTTAAAGATTTTCCCCCGAAAGTCCCTTGCAGTTTCAGAACAAGCTGCTAGGGGGACCAAACCCACACCAATTATTCCTGGCAGGACAATCTATCTGTCACCCAAAAATCAAGACCATAACATGTTCAGGACAAAAGATACAAAAACCGGAAGTTCTGCTGCAGTACCAAGGTCATCCACCAGGAGGCCCATATTTGACCTTGACCTTTGGCTTCCTAAGGCCTACCAGCATACCAAATATCATCACAATCCATAAAGGCGTTATGGAGTTATGAAGGTACAAAAAAGCGGAAACACAAACACACATACACACACACACACACACACACACACACACACACGCACACAGACGCGCCAAAAACAATACCTTCCATTTCATGGAGGTAACAAAACTCCAGTCGATGAAGATTCTGATATCAGGTAATCTTATTAAAATTTTCATTTAGGAAAGGTTTTAAAAAGTTTTACCTACCAATGTCTTTCTTTCCTTTTTTCCAGAATGTTCCCTTCTACATATTCTGTGAGTCATATGGAGGAAAGATGTCGGCTGCTTTAGCTCAGGCACTATACAAGGTGAAGACACAGGATCCATACAAATGTCATGCACTAATCCTGAACCCTTCATGACAGGGTTCAAAATTCACTTTGGGTAATAGGTGCACTTGTGCACCCAACCTAAAAAAATTTGGGGTGCACCATATAAGTAGAATGTCAGCAAAAACTAATTATGTTTCATTTCTAAATAAATGTACTATAACAATGATTTTATTATTATTTTGACCCTTAGATATTAAGAATATATGCTGTATACTACTATACATTTAGCATCTTTACATATGAAAACCTATGAAAATATTTGGGTGCACTGGTGCACTCACAGAAAAAAATTGGGTGCAGTCAGCTCCAAATTTGGGTACACTAAGGTGCACATGCACCCAGTATTATTCAAGCTCAGGCACTTTACAAAGTGAGGACACAGGATCCATAAAATGTCACACACTAATCCTGAACCCTTCATGAAGAAGGGAAAACTGGCACATCTTTCTCTTTTAATCTATGTGATATTGCGGGGTCTTTACATCTGTCAATAACATGATGTATTTGTAGCTTAGTTTGTCTTTGGTTGATGTATCACAGGCTCATTCTGTCGCATCTTGTTGACTTCTCTTAATCTTGTGTACGCTACCAGCAAATAGATTTTGTAACTTTTGCTGAATAGTAAGTATTTCAATTGCCAAGGACTACCAAGATGATATACAGTCATGTAGTTACTAGTACTTATTCACACATTCACTTGACAATGTTGAACAAGAGCCAACATTTTGACGACTGCCTGTAATCTTCATCAGGGCAATTACTAGTATGACTGGACACTTTGCTGTGCACAGAAGCTGTATAGGTGTTACCAAGGAGCTTTACATTCAAGATTGAAACCAAAAGCTTCTTGGGAGTTGGTGTTACAGTGCATAATAATGCTGTTCAATCTTTCACCAACCTAATGAAATTATCCATTGGATGCTTTTTGATGGATGACAGAGGAATAAGGCTAATGTGGATAAATGAAAGAAATTTTCTTTCCTGAACAGACTTTTATGTTGTCCAAATAACAGTTACTCAAGCAACTGGATATGATTTTGGAAACGGTCAGACGTTTCAGGTAGCATTCACTATCTTTCGTATAAACCTGCATTTCTCCTGCAATCTCTAGTGTCACTGACGAAAAGTTTAGGATGCTATATACTAGTACCTGAAATGTCTGTGACCTTTTCCAAAATCATATCCAGTTGCTTGAGTTACTGTTTTTGGCATATCTTATTACCTGGATGTCTTGCTTTCATGTTGTAGACCTTGATGTTGTTTTTTTCTGTAGGCTGTGAAGCAAGGTGAAGTGAAGTGTGACCTGAAAGGTGTGGCTCTGGGAGACTCCTGGATTTCAGCCATGGGTGAGTGGGCAGTAGTGGATGCTACATGAAACATCGGACAGTTTTCGAAATCTACCAGTATCTGGAGATTACTGAATAACATGAGATTCTTGTACTACCATGCAGGTTCATCTGTGTTGGTCGGTTACATGTCATAAAGTTAAAACTTTAGATCCAACACAAAGTTCTCTTAGTACTTACCTAGAGCTTTTAGACCTGTCACTCTGTGTGTTGAGATCACACTTCAAAGAAGCCACGTGACAAGCCCCACTGGGTCAGTCTACTGAGGATTTTTAGACCAGAGTGACCGGTCGAAAGCTCTGTGGATTTAAAGTTTTAACTTTTAACATGAGATTCTTATGTATCTCATTACCTGGATGACTAACCCTCCTTGACGCATGATGGCATATCAGTTCTTGGGATTCGGTTTCTACAGACTGAGGGACTGTACAAGAGTAACGGGGTACCCTGAACTGAATCAGATTTGACTTAATGATATGCCATCAGAAAAAAATGCACATTAAGCTCCTCAAAAAGTTCAACTCGTAAAGCCTGTTAAGCCTTACAAACCTGTAGAATGAAACCTATACCACACTCCTGACCTTTGCATGTATCGTTACTATGTTGTTTTCTCCTTTCAATCCTGTCCTCATGTCAGTCTTACATGTCATTTCAGAGCCAGCAATTCTAAGAAACATCTGTGAAACTGTGTAACAGTTGATTTAGTGCCATTAAAAAGTTCTGATCTATGTTAACACTAACACTGGTTGTTTGCAGACTATGTCAACACCTGGGGACCTTACCTGAAAGCAACGGTGAGTAAATCTTCACTCTGAACTGCTAATCTTCTTTGTGTGTCTGTGCAACTTGTAGCCAACACAGCCCCTTCAGTACTTTGCGTGGGCTAGGTAGATCACAAGTCTGTTCTTAGAGAGGCTATAGCTATATTAGGCTATAGCTTCCTGTAAGGCCTAGGAAAGGTTGTGTTCCCTGTTTCAGTCCTGAAAAAATTAGGGTTTCAGTCCTGAAAAAAATACAGTCCCTTCAAGGAGTCTACACACAGAAAAGTCTAGGTTCAGCTGGTTTTTCTAGGGTCGGTCGGGAAACAGGAAACACATTTTTTTCCCTTGGCCTAATCTTAAAGTGGATTTTCAAGTTACTTTATTTCCCATTTCCTGTTTAGTCCCTGCTGGACCATGTGGGTCTCCAGGCAGTACAGAAGTCGGCGCAGCAGACCCAGGCGGCCGTGGACCAAGGTCGGTGGAGGAACGCCACTGAACTCTGGAGCAGGACGGAAGACGTCTTGGAGGAGGTCAGAGACACTCCGTTTATCACTGTCACTTTCTTATCCTTAGTAACTGTAGCAAGGGCTGAAATTCATTTTGGGAATATAGGTGCACTGGTTTGGGTGTGCAAAACTGCATAATATTATGCACCCAGTATTACTAAGTCCTGTACGTGTAGTTACAGTGAACCTCAAAGGATGTCAGAAATCAGGGTCTCTGAAAAAGGTTTGAAGTCAGTTTATCACTGTCACTTTTTTATTCTCACAGCGTAGGTGTCAGGTACAGAAGGACAACTTTCCATGACACAAGCTGTGCATATGACTCAGTGTAAAAATCAGTGCAATTCATCTTGAATGTTGTACATGTACCTCATGCTGCAATGCTGATGAAGGGGGCCAGAAGTTCACCATTAAAAATTCAAAACTTATATCCCTCTGAGATGCTACTTCCTGCCTATTGTGGAAAATTTTATAAAGTTATGTTTTCTCTCTGTTATAGCTTCATTCTAAAGTCAAATTTTAACTTTTTAAAGATTTGTGAAGGATAATGTTAGGTTCTCCTGAAAAATTAAAGAAACACCTCTATGCTGGCTATAAGACAGTAGATATAGGGGGCTAAATCACAACATAGGGGGTGACGCTCAAGTTCTGCAAATAAGTTCAGGGATTTTGAAGGCTGAAGTTCCATCTTTTTACAGTTCAGCAACGGAGTGAGCTTCTACAACATTCTTGGTGACAAGGTCAAGTTCGAAGTATCTGGCAGTAGAACACCAAACTTGGGTAACTCGTATATTGGTGAGTCTTTCTTTATTGGTCCCCAACTTTTATTTCCTTTGTTTCTCTGTACATACATCTGTAATAATTTATGCTTACCTTTGCAGAAGGAAAATGTAACTTTTTTTGCTGTATTTCTTCTTCGATCTTCTTATCCAATGACCTGGACCAGTCACCATGGTACATGTAACTGGTGCTGTAGCAGACACCATGTGGTGATGCAGCCAGATATGGCCTCACGGCATGGTGGCAACCAGTTTCTGTAGATCGGGGATTTCAGCAGCGACTTCCTGCACATGTTTCTTGAATGTTCTTCATTACCTCCGGGGAAGGAGATATCCTTCCGCCAGGAGGTTTTACTATTGTTCGAAACATTTCTGTCAGCAGCTGTTTCTCGCGATCGGCTGGACGGATTGGTCTGTTGTTCGGTATACGTATTGCTATTGGGCTGCAGATGATGCAGAACATTTTTGTTTAATTGCATATGTGTTTATGGGCGTCGAAATAAAAGGTTTTTGAGTGCTCCGGACACCCCCGTTATGCTGAAAATGGAATTTACCATGTTGTTAAGGAATGGGGAGGTTGCAGTTTTGGGTCTTAGCATTCAAAAGGGGTCAAACAGAGGGGTGTCTGGTTCCGATAAAAACGTTGGGTGACGGCGCAGCAATGACGGCGCGGGATGACGGCGGGGGTAATGGCGCGGATGACGCTGAACGCTGGGTGCAAGCCGAGTCAGCGCTAGATCTTCGTGTCGCGGCATTTATTTCCAGAAATACGGCGATACACGTCAATTTATTTCAAGTACGGCGCGTAGCTAGCATGGCAGCAGCCAGCAGAAGCGGTGGGCGGGCGGTATGCAAATCTTGCATGACGTATCCGCGTTTCGCGTCTCTGATTGGTTGTTCGCTTCAGCTGAGATCGCCGGGCGGCAACATGAAGGGCGCGGGGACGCGATTTTTCTGTTTGAAAATATGCACTAAACGCTGTTTTCCAGGACTGCATAGCCACATCTAGTGAAAAAGTTCACAATTAATATAAATTTGGGGGGAAATATTTGTTTCTTTGTCGATTTATGGTGTCGATTTAGGGACTGTACGATATTTACCGGGGGGGGGGAGGGCTGGTGCATATGGAACCCGGAAGTGCAGCCGAGACCAGCGCGCAGCGTAGACCAGCGTGGCAGTTTGACGTGTACGATCAAAACATAAACAAAACTCCCGCTGAAGAAGGGAAATTATCCTGTATGTATGCATTTCAGATCCCAGTGACTATGTTTACGATGGGAATAATTGTGGATACGCACGATGCGCACGATAAGCCTCAGAAATTTATGTCGCAAGTGGGACATTCTATAGGCTTGCACGGCCAATGTCTGGCACGCTACGCGGCGTACGTACACTGCTGCACATCACAGCCAGCGATTCAGTGTCTTAAAATATTTTTTAACATCAGTATAACAATATTTTTAAGCATATGTGATCAAATTTCTGTAAAAAAAATTTGCACAATTGTAAACA